CAATAAAATGATTTATTAAAAAAAAAGAATGTCGTATTTCTGGTAGGAGAAGGAATTGGCATGATGTTGCTGACTTTTTATTTATTTTTTTGTTGTTGCTGACTTGAAGATACTAAACTCACCCACAACCACCATCACCACAATAAAACAAAAACTGCAACCCCACTGCCATCTAGCAACTCCATGCACAGGGTAGGACGTCCCCAGTGGGCTTCTGAGACTGTAACTCTTTATGGGGTTATTAAGCCTGCTTTCACTCACAGAGCAGCTGTAGGTTTCAAACTGCTGACCTTCTGGTCAGCAGCCCATGGGGTACCCATGATGCAAGTCAGGGCTCCCCTGACTTGAAGATAGAGGCCGTGTGGCAAAGGGTGTGGGCCACCTTAGAAACTGAGAGCTACCCCTGGCTGTCAGCTGACAAGGAAATGGAGCATCCGTCCTAAGATCACAGGGAGTGAATCCCACCAACAGTCAGCGTAAGCTTGGAAGTGGAGAATTCCCCAGCCTCCAGCTAAGAGGCCAGCCCAGCCGCAGACACCTTGATTTCCGCCTTCTGATTGATATCCTTGAGAGAGAGCCCAACCATGCCCGTATGTCTCTGACTTGGGAGCCAACCAAAGCGTGTTGGTTTATGCTGCTCTGTTTGTGGGACTTTGTGAAGCAGCAGTATAGATCTGGGGTCTTCAAGAAGCTCATGGAGAAATGGAACTAAAAGACAAGTCAAAAATTCCTAGGACCTTTTCGAAGCCGCCTTGTAGACACACACACACATATGCAAATTATATGCATATGTTTAAACTCACATGTGTGTGACTGTGTGAGTGTGGTATCTAAGAGGGCACTTTAAGGAACCATCAGCAGTCCAATGCTTAATCCGCTACACCACCAATGCCCTTTTCTTGACTCTATAGAAGTAAATGGATTGATTGCTGAGGAAGCCCTCCATAGCTGCCTAACATTGAGCTAATGTTGCCACCAGGGTTCCTAACGCACCAGCCGACCCACGGGAGAAACAGGAGGCTCCTGTGCCTGGAAAGATTCACAGCTTCAGAAACCCTATGCAGAGAGGGTGGCTATGAGTCTGAATGGACTCGAGGGTGGTGTGTGGTTTTCTGGTGTGTGTGTGTGTGTGTGTGTAGTAAAAAGTGAATGAGCCTTAATGAACGTGTGGTGGAAAGCACAGATCTGAAGTGCACGTGCCAATGAGCTTTGACAAATGCACACACCTCAAGGGAACCCAAACGAGATCCCCTCACCCCAGAAAGGTCTTTCACCCCCATCCCAGTCAGTCCCCACCCCCGAAACAACCACTGCTCGAGTCCCGTCACAAGTTCGTTTTGCCCTCTTGAGAATTTCATCTGTTTTGGTTAGTGTACTAATTTTGAGCTTCGTCCTTGCTGCATGCCCGTTGGCGCCATTCGCGGCTGTCATGCTGTCCCTGACTCATGGTGGCCCAACATCCAAGGGATCAGACTGCTGTGACCCACAGGGTTTTCATCGCTGGTTTTGACCCAAGTAGATTTCAGGCCTTTCTCCCTAGCCTGTTTTAGTCAGAAACCTGTTGAGCATCCTCATCACAGAAGCCTCCACTGACAGATGAGCGGTAATACTGCAGGAGGGACATTGGCTGGAATTGAACTTGGGTTCCCCGCAATGAAGGCAAGAATTCTACTACTGGGTCATCACTGCCTGCCTTGCCCCCCACCCCCCAACTTGATTGGCACTTGGTTCCTTGGTCCCTTTTTATTGTTGAGTAGCATTCCATTGTGTAGATGTACCATGGTTTATGTATATACTTGCTCATTGATAGACACTCAGCTATTTCTAGTTTTGTATGTAATACTGGTAAGAATATTTGCATACAAGTCTCTGTGTACTTTTTTTGCTGTTGTTTTCCATTTCTTTTAGATAAATACCAAGACGTGGGATTGCTGGGGCACACAGTAGATGCAATGGAGTTTTGGTGGTGCTCTGGGATAATCATTAGGCTGTTAACCTCAAGGTCAGCGGTTCAAAACCACCAGCCACTCTGCAGGAAGAAGGTGAAACTGGCCCCATAAAGATTTATAGTCTTGGAAGCCCTATATAGGGTTGCTATGAATAGAAATTAACTCGATGGCAGTGAACTTAGGCTTTGGTTTAGAGTAGGTGCATGTTTAACTATTTGAGAAATGATCTAACAAATTTCCAAAAGGGGTGTGTCATTTTACAGGCCCCCCAGCACTGCATGAGCGTTCTCCTTGCTCCACTTGAACAGTTAGTGTTGGCGGTTTTTATTGCTTGAACCACTTGAATGTATGTGAGAGGCGTCTTACTGTGGCTGGAACTTTTTGCATTAATTGATTTTCTTAATTGAGGTAGTCCTGGTGATCAGAATGCATGCCAAGCAAGAGTTCTATAACGCCTCACAGTTAGCAAAGCCCCTCCACACACGTTCTTTTATTTGGTGCTAAAAACAACCACACTGTCGGTTCGACTTTGCTGCTGCTCCCTGAATCTGGGTTCTTCTCTTTGGATTCTATTCTGCACACCGCCAGCAAGTTCTATCCAAAACATAGCTCTGGCCAGGTTATTCCTCTGGTATAAAACCCCTCCACAGCCCCCCACTGTTTGCAGAGGAAAGGTCCAACATTTCTGCTAGGGAATGAAGACCAGCTATGGTTTCAACCTAACCTACTGTCCAACCTCTTCTACCTGTAGGCACCCAGACGGTGTCTCATTGTTATCCTTAGAATTCTCTTTCCTGTGTAAGTGTCTTTACTCCGGGCACCTTTTGGAGGGGATGTAGGGAGAGGAACTAAAACACTGTTATCTATAACCCTTAAATCTGCCCCTGATGTTCCACACCCAGGTCAAATGTCATCCCATTCCCAGCTTCCCTGATTTCCTCAGGATGGAAGGGACACTGCTCTCCTCCATATACCCATGGTGCTTTGCACTTAATACAGCTTTCATGCACCCAGGCTATTTGCACATGTGTCTCTTGGCTGGGCTGGGATCTCCCTGGGGGTGGTCTGTCACATCCATCTCTGTCGGCTCAGAATAGGGCCTGACTCTACTGATTCACATATGAGAATCTGGTCACTATAGTTATACCGGACATTTACTGGTGCCAGGTATGGCAATGGTCTTACCTCAGGACCCAACCCAATTGGACTAATCCCAAACTGAAGGGAGGGCCCTGGGCTTGATCGGTTCATTGATTGATTGGCTAATCTATCAATCTGCCTGCACAATGATGGATGCCACATCCACTCATCATCCTTTCATCGATCCATCTATCATCCATCCATCCATCCATCCATCCATCCATTCGTCCGTTATCCACACCTACTTGGAACCCTCATCTGCTCTCCACTCACTCATCTACTCATCATCCTTTCATTGATCTATCTATCATCCATCCATCTACCCATCCACCCACCCTCCCATCCATCCATCCATCCATCCATCCACCCATCCATCCATCCATCCATCCATCCATCCATCCATCCATCCATCCATCC